AAACTGGGTAAAAATGTTGTGGAGGTAGTAGTAGGTAAATTTGGGGTGCCAGGGGTAAATAAAAATGGGGAGCCTTTAACCCCTTGACTGTCGCAACCCCAAATCCTGAGGCGTCTCCTGATGTCACAAAATTCCCCCCAATTATTTTTCTCGTGAAATGATAGAGAATCTTTTCCCGATTGTAATGACACCAAAAGAACGAAATTTGATGGAAAACTGGCGGAGTTATGCTCTTGCAAAGTTAGCGACCTTGGTGATATTTACAAATCGGCGATTTCCCCCACTTTGAGCCCTATTTTCGGCTAATTCCAGTGTTCCAGTCTACCAAACTCATAGCTATTTCTTTAGAGCTCCATTTTTTCTATCGATTGAGTACAAGAAACTGCCCATTTACCAATTTCAACTACCCAATAACGTGGTCAGAAATTTGCAATTTGGCCAATTTCACGAAAATAAAAAATATGACAATTTCAAAATAGGGTCCAGAATGAACAATTCAGACATTCCAGGCTCTAAAATAAAATTTTCTTTGTTCATCAGTCACGTCCCCAGGCCCCTCTGATATTACTCTTCCTTTTCATTTTGAATTTTTATTCAACCAAAAAATAGAAGATTTACTGTTATGCAGACTACTGCAATATTGTAATAATTGTATAAATAATGTCAACCTATTCATGACTGCATATCAGAATGGCTACTTGGACATTTATTGGAAAATGACATTTGTTTACTTTTGAACATCAGCAAAAATCAAACATTTCCCCTACTTTGAGCTCCAGTTCAAGATTCTTTTCATAGTAAAACGAATCAAAATCACCAATATTTCTATAACATGTTTTCCATTCTATCAAATGAGACCAAGAAAATGAGAATACAACCATATATACTATACAAAAATAGACCACAAAGTCGGCATTTTAATTAAAAACAAAAACGGCCGGAGTTTTTTTTTTTCTCATTATGCACTGCATGCTGCAGGATTTTTTTTATATAGTGTACACTGACCACACAGACGCATTCTCTCACATGCGGGCCTACCAGCTTTCTCCTGCTTGATTTGAAGCCGCTAGAATTTATGAGTACATATACGTCAAAAACGGTGGCTCGTAACACGTATATATACGACCAAAACAGTCAACGGGTTGAGCTATGCGTAGAAAGAGGTTTGGTAATAAATAATACATATTTTATGAAAAAGAGGATAAATAAGTATACAAGGTATGATATTAATAGGTCCAGAGCAACTTGTGGATATGACAGTGGTAGGTATCGAAGGGGGACATTTTGTGCGACCTAGGTGTCCCAAATTCCTACCTGTCTAACTGATAAATAATAATTATCTTTATTCACATAATGAAAGTAGTTTGTTAGATTATGTATTGGTAGATAAAAGGTTGATGAGTAGGCTTCAGTATGTACATGTTTATAGAGGGTCAACGGATATATCGGATCAGTATTTAGTTGTTGCTACAGTTAAAGTAAGAGGTAAATGGGACAAAAGGAAAATGGCAACAGCAAGTAAGAGAGGTGTGAAAGTGTATAAACTAAGTAGGAGTAGTGGGGGTTGGGGGTTGATGAGGGTTAGGATAGTTTTAAAAATGCAGTATTTAGAATAAGGGGCAAAAGTTTGTGGCTATAGGAGGGTGGGTGCAGGAGGAAAGAAGAGTGATTGGTGGAATGATGAAGTAAAGGGTGTGATAAAAGAGAAAAAGGCAGCTTATGAGAGGTTTTTACAAAGCAGAAGTGTTGTAAGCAGGGCAGTATATGGAGAGTAAAAGAAAGGTGAAGAGAGTGCAAAAGGAGAGCAAATGAAAGAGTGGGAGAGGCACTGCCAAGAAATTTTGCTGAAAATCAGAAAAAAATTTTGGAGTGAGATAAACAAGTTAAGAAAGCCTAGGGAACAAATGGATTTGTCAGTTAAAAAACAGAGTGGGGGAGCTAGTACATGGGGAGCTGGAGGTATTGGATAAATGGTGGGAATATTCTGAGGAACTTTTAAATGTCAATGATGAAAGGAAGGCTGTAATTTCATGCAATGGTCAGGGAGGTACAACATCTTTTGAAGTCTGGCCTGGTACCTAGGGATTGGCAGAGAGCGTGTATAGTTCCTTTATATAAAGTGAAGGGGGACAAGAGAGACTAAAAATTATAAGGGAAGAAGTTTACAGAGTTCTGGGTAGCAGGTTGGTAGACAGCAACCACCCAGGGAGGTACTACCGTCCTGCCAATGAGTGTAAAACGGAAACCTGTAACTGTTTTACATGATGGTAGGATTGCTGGTGTCTTTTTTGTCTCATAAACATGCAAGATTTCAGGTATGTCTTCCTACTTCTACTTACACTTAGGTCACACTACACACACATGTACAAGCATATATATATACACACCCCTCTGGGTTTACTTCTATTTTCTTTCTAGTTCTTGTTCTTGTTTATTTCCTCTTATCTCCATGGGGAAGTGGAACAGAATTCTCCCTCTGTAAGCCATGTGTGTTGTAAGAGGCAACTAAAATGCTGGGAGCAAGGGGCTAATAACCTCTTCTCCTGTATGTATTACTAAATGTAAAAGGAGAAACTTTCATTTTTTCTTTTGGGCCACCCCGCCTCGCTGGGATACGGCCGGTGTGTTGAAAGAAAGAAAGATGGTAGGATTGCTGGAGTCCTTTTTTTGTCTCATAAACATGGAAGATTTCACGTACATCTTGCTACTTCTACTTACATTTAAGTCACACTACACATACATGTACAAGCATATATATACACACCCCTCTGGGTTTTCTTCTATTTTCTTTCTAGTTCTTGTTCTTGTTTATTTCCTCTTATCTCCATGGGGAAGTGAAACAGAATTCTTCCTCCGTAAGCCATGCGTGTTGTAAGAGGCAACTAAAATGCCAGGAGCAAGGGGCTAGTAACCCCTTCGCCTGTATAAATTACTAAATTTAAAAAGAGAGACTTTAGTTTTTCTTTTTGGGCCACCCTGCCTCGGTGGGATATGGCCGGTTTGTTGAAAGAAAGAAGTTTACTGAGTATACCAGGTAAATTGTGCAGTAGGGTTATTACTGAAAGAATCAGAAGTAAGACAGAGAGTAGGATTGCAGATGAGCAAGGTGGCTTTAGAGTGGGTAAAGGATGTGTAGATCAAGTGTTTACATTGAAGCATACATGTTAACAGTATGTAGATAAATGTAGGGAAGTTTTCATTGCATTTATGGATTTAGAAAAGGTATATGACAGAGTAGATAGGGAAGCAATGTGGCAGATGTTGCAAGTATATGGAATAGGTAGTAGGTTACTAAATGCGGTAAAGAGTTTTTATGAGGATAGTGAGGCTCACGTTAAGGTGTATAGAAGAGGGAGATTACTTCCTGGTAAAAGTAGGTCTTAGACAGGGATGTGTAATGTCACCATGGTTGTTTAATATATTTATAGATGGGATTGTAAAAGAAGTAAATGCTAGGTATTGGGGTAGGATTAAATTATGGGATATCAAGTACAAAATGGGAGTTGACACAGTTTCTTTTTTCTGATGATACTGTGCTTATGGGAGATTCTAAAGGAAAGTTGTACATGAGTTTGGGAGGGTGTGTAAAGGTAGAAAGTTGAAAGTGAACATAGATAAGTGTAAGGTGATGAGGGTGTCAAATGATTTAGATAAAGAAAAATTGGATATTACATTGGAGAGAGGGAGTATGGAAGAAGTGAATGTTTTCCGATATTTGGGAGTTGACTTTTCACCGAATGGGTTTATGAAGGATGAGGTTAACCACAGAATTGATGAAGGAAAAAAGGCGAGAGGTGCGTTGAGGTATCTGTGGAGACAAAAAAAAACGTTATCCATGGAGGCAAAGAAGGGAATATACGAAAGTATAGTGGTACCAACACTCTTATATGCGTGTGAAGCTTGGGTTGCAAATGCTACAGCGAAGAGGAGGCTGGAGGTAGTGAAGATGTCCTATCTAAGGGCAATGTGTGGTGTAAATATTAGAGAGAGAATTCGGGGTGTGGAAATTAGGAGGAGGTGTGGAGTTACTAAAAGTATTAGTCAGAGGGCCGAAGAGGGGTTGTTGAGGTGGTTTGGTCATTTCGAGAGAATGGATCAAAGCAGAATGACTTGGAGAGCGTATAAATCTCTAGGGAAAGGAAGGCAGGGTAGGGGTCGTCCTTGAAAAGGTTGTAGGGAGGGAGTAAAGGAGGTTTTGTGGGCGAGGGGCTTGGACTTCCAGCAAGTACGTGTGAGCGTGTTACATAGGAGTGAATGGAGACGAATGATTTTTGGGACCTGACGAGCTATTGGAGTGTGAGCAGGGTAAAATTTAGTGAAGGGATGCAGGGAAACCGGTCTTTTTACACAGCCGGACTTGAATACTGGAAATGGGAAGTACAATGCCTAGGTTCCTCTGCAAAAACAGTGATTATGTATGAGGTGAAAATGTTGACTGATGATGAAAGTATCTTCTCTGTTGGGATTTTCTTTCTTTTTGGGTCACCCTGCCTCAGTGGGAGACAGCCAACTTGTTAAAAAAAAAAAAAGTGTGATATGAATATGCACAATTTGGATATTACATTTTTGGACGAGCTTTAAACCCCTGGTTATACAGAAAGCATAGACACTGAAAAGATGTGAAGTCACTAAGGGTATAATTCAGAGGGTTGAGGAGGGGATGTTGAGGTGATTTAGACATGTAAAGAGGATGAAGAGGAATAAAATGATGAAAAGGATATATAAATTAGGGGTGGAAGGTAGGATGGGTAAGAGTTATCAGCTCAAGAGCTCTTCATCAACCAGAAAAAAAACAGTACAAGATAAATTTTCTTTGAGATTTTTTAAATATTACAAACATTCATGAATGGCTAGATCTGCAAATAACATTGTCTTACTTGGAAAGCTCAAAACAAAGTAAAAAAAAAAAAAAATATTGTCTGAAACTGGAAATTTGCCAATATAGTGTCACCGGTTTATATAAACAATGATAATAACTTAATCAAGAATACACAACTTAC